CTGCCCTGACTCTCAGTCCGGGCACTGATGCAGGGTCTTCTCCAAGCCCCTGTGGGATGGGCGGTGTGGCTGCTGCAGAGCTGTGTCCATCCCCACCAGCATGGGCCAGGGGCCCCAACCCACCATGACAGAACCCCCAAACCAACTCCCTCCAGCCATCCCTGTGGCTCCAGGCCAGGCCAGGCAAGCACTGGTCTGTCTCTGCTATGGCCACCCATCTGCCCGCGGGCCTCTTCTGCCCTCACCCCGGCCACATCCCTCCACATCGCTCCCCGAGCAGACCTCAGCCACCCAGGGCTGGCAGCGAGCCTGGCCGCCGACTCAGGCCCGCGCTGCCGTGCGCACCTCGCCTGCATGTGCCGCGGGCATGTTGCTGCTCTGCCTCTCTTTCCAGGGGAAGCGAAACGGCCCATGGAGTCCAAAGGGTCATTGGGCAGACGTCCAGAGCGCGATTTCAGGGCCCTGGTTTCCAGGGGAGAGGACTTTGGCCCAGCGCGCGGCCCATGGCGCCCTGAGCGGACGGGCATCCTCCTGAGCGTGGCTGGTGGCAGCTCTCCCAGGAGAGAGCATTGCCTCATGCCCAGCCAAGACGAGCAGAGGGCAGCCTGGTGTGCAGGTCGTGGCCTCGGCGAGTGGCAGGCGGTACTGCTGCCCAGGGGACGTAGCTGTGGCCTTGACAGCCCCTGGCCAGCGCAGGCTTGCTGGTGCGTGGCCCCGAGATGCTTGGGGGTATCTGCCTGGTGCTGTGAGCTGCCCTGGCGAGCCTGCGAGGCCATTTGTGAAAGTTCTTCTTTTGTGAATTTTATCTAGAATCCCCTGCATCCCTTGTCAGGCCCTTTTCTGCTGTCCCCAGATGGTGCCTGCGGAGGCCATGTGCTGCCTGAATGTGGCCCCTGGGCACTAGTCGAGGGGCTCTGGCCTGAGGGGGTGTGGGGGGTGTCAGGCTATGACCACGTCCACGTGGGTGGCCGCCACCCCACACCCCGCCCTGGCTTCTGCACCCGCTTCCCTTCTAGGGCCTCAGGGCCTCCTCCCACCTCATCGCCTCCCCTGCACCCACCGGCCTACAGCCCACCCGTGCTGGCTTCAGCCCTCACTTCTTCTCCTGGGGGTCTCTGGGTCCCATGTAACCCAGTATAGGCCTGCGTGCTTATCTTCTCTCATCGGGGCAGAACCCACTCTCCTTGAGGCCTTGTGCCCACAAAGCACGTCCCCTAAATTCCCTTCCTTGGGACCCCAGCCTGCACCCCACTGCCAGGTGGCCCCCCTCAAGGGCCAGGATGGGCACCAGCACCACCTGAGTGGGCTCAGAACCAGGGAGGGGGCCCCCTGCCAAAATGGCATGAGGGAGGAGCGGTCACAGGTTGGTGGCTGGGCAGCGATGCCGGTGCACTGACGCCCAGGTCCCACCTTCTCCCGCTCCACGAGTGGAGTGCGCAGAGCCCTGAAGGACCGGGGGCTTCCCACTGCCCCCACCTGCGCAGTCAGCGCAGGCAGGGCGGCCCAGAGCCCCGCACCAAGGGCAGGAGTGTGTGGCCCAGGCTCAGGGAGGAGCCCTCCTGCAGCTGGGGGGCAGGCCCAGCGCCCTGCTGGCCAGAGCGGCCCCCCGTGGAAGGCAGTTGGGGCCACCCAGGCCTCCCTCCACTGGAGCCCTTGCTGGGCAGGTGCCCTCCGAGCTCCCTGCTGTCCCGTGGGGCTACAGCTCGGGTGGGTGGCAGCCCTGTGTGCTGCACTGCACGAGCTGGGCTCCCTTAGGAAGAGGTGTCCGCAGGGGAGGCTGCTGCAGGAGCTGGGGGGCTCATGCCAGGGCACTGCACACGAACACCACGGCACGGGGGTCCTGGGAAGGAGCTCTGAGCCCAGGGCCGGGGGAGCAAGGCCTTGCTGGCCACCCACACCCACGCTGGGGCCGAGCTGAGGGCTCAGGTCTGTCCTGACTACACAGTGGGAAGCCGTGTTCCCAGGAGACCTGGGAGTGGAGTTGGCTGCGTTGGGGAGGTGTTGGGCTCGGGTGAGGTCCTGTGGGAGCAGGACAGGTCTCCGCAGAACCCAGACTGTCGGCGTGGAGGAGGGCAGAGGCCACGGTGAGCTACACAGGCCTCTGTCCCCTGTGCCCAGGGCCACAAATTAGACCCACGTCCTGAGCTGCCTTCAAGGGCAGGCTCTAGAGAGCCCTGGCAGGGCACCGTCCGCCCTTGTCAAGGCCCTCAGCGGCTAGGCAGCCTGAGCGCAGGTGCAGGAGGAGCCCCCAGCGAGGCCTGAATGTGGCCCAGGAGCCCTAGACGCCCCGCCCCACCCGAGGATGAGACGGGAGGCAGGGCCACGCCTCCACCACGGTTCTTCTAGGTCAAAGGACTGTGCCGTCCCAGGAGACAGGCCTGTCTCACTGCAGTCTCACGCAGCGGCCACCAGCCAGCCCAGCTGATCCTGCCCTCAGCACACATCAGACCCCTGCAGGGTTAAGCCGGGGCTGGCCTGGCAGGCTCCAGGCCTTGGTTAATAGCTATAAGGCCTTAGACATTTCGGGAACTTTCCAGAAGCCGTGTGCTGGGCCAGAGCAAACCAAGCAGTGGGCAGGAGGCAGGTGTGTGCAGGGCCCGGAGGCACGGCCCTTGAGCTGTGCTCGACAAGTGGTGTGTCCACATAATTTCCCAGAGGCCTGATCGGAGCCGGTGCAGAGAGAGAGGTCGCAGGCCAGGCTCTGCAGAACAGGTCAGGCGAGAGGGCGGGCAGAGCGGCAGGGACCAGGAGTGTTCCACAAACCAGTTGCTGGGCTGACTGCAGATTAGCATCAGGCAGCAGACGAATCCAGGGTCACAGAGAGTCACTCCAGGGCAGATGGGCTCGACACATCCCGCCCTCATGCCCGGAGAGCCAGGAGCACGGCCAATTCCCGCACTGTCCGCGGGGAGGGCACTGCAGGGGGAGAACGGGCAGGAACCTGAGACCACAAAGCAGGTTTCTGTCCCTGGGCAGCCAGACCAGCTCAGGAGCCTGCCCCGAGCCAGGCAGGGGGTTCGCTCTGGGGAGGGATGTGAGCCTGTGCTCCCTGCCCAGGGGACTGTCAGGTGCCCTCTGACCCAGTTCCTGGTGTGGGTCGGGGGCCACCCTGCCCGGTGTCCAGCAGGACCGGTGACCGGTTGCACCCAGCGTGCCACCTCCCTGGCTGTCCCCCCTTGCAGAGACCCTGCCTCTCCCAGGTGGGCAGCAGAGGGTCCTCCCCAAGCAGCACGGGGTCTCTCGCCCTCAGCACCAGCTCCTCCGGACCCCCAAGCAGAGGGTCTTGAGGTCTGCACTGCCCTCTTCCCTAAACCTCACTTTCTGCAAAGACGCCCCCAGCAATTTCTCAATTCAGGTTAAGTCCCCAGATCCCTTGTGTCCTAGGGAGGGACAGCCAAGGCCCCTGAGTTTGAGGAGATTCCCCCAGGCTTACAGTGGTGATCCCAGGACCTGGTCAGAGAGGACCCTGGTGTCCAGCCTGAAGCCCCTTCCATGGGACACCCCTGCCTTCCACGTGGGCTGCGCCATCCAGAAGGAAACCCAGGGAACAGAGCTCAGGGCAGGGTGGGACCTGAGGGTGGAGGGGTCTGTTGAAAGAGAGGGGTGGGGAGTCTTTGCAGGAAGAGGAGGAATTCCTCTGGGGCTGGGAGAGCTGAGGGGGTGTCCAGGGCCCCCAGGACCCCAGTAGGGGGCCAGAGGGTGTAATCCCATGAGGCTGCTGGTTCCGGGTGTCAGGATAAGCCCAAGAAGGGAAGGAGGACCCACGACCACGACCCGGAGAAGCAGTATGTCACCACGCATGTCCCCAAAGCACAGACCCCATACCAGCCCCATCAGGCCAGACTCTAGCTGTCACACCAATCATGGGGTGGCGGCTCAGTGGACGCTGGGCACACAGTATGCATGTCACCCCCAGGTGTGCCTCCCAGTGTGAGGGGTCCCTCTGAGCTGGCAGTGGGGGTCAGGCCCCCACAGACACACCAGGGTCAGGAGCCCCCAGCCTCCAGGGAGAGGCGGTTCTGAGCTCACATCTCAACCGTGGATTTTAATGATGTTTTATTGTTGTTTTCCAAAATAAATACATTCTTTTTTTTTTTGAGACAGTCTCACTCTTTTGCCCGGGCTAGAATGAGGGCTGTGGTGTCAGCCTAGCTCACAGCAACCTCACACTCCTGGGCTCAAGCAATCCTTCTGCCTCAGCCTCCCGAGTAGCTGGGACTACAGGCATGCGCCACCATGCCCGGCTAATTTTTTCTATATATTTTTAGTAGTCCGATTAATTTCTTTCTATTTTTAGTAGAGGTGGGGTCTCACTCTTGCTCAGGCTGATTTCGAACTCCTGAGCTCAAACAATCCGCCTGCCTCGGCCTCCCAGAGTGCTAGGATTACAGGCATGAGCCACCGCGCCCGGCCCAAAATAAGTATATTCTTAATTCAAAAAACTTAGAAACTAAAGAAGAGCTGGCAGGATGAAAAAGCTCGCAACACTGCCCCTGTGCAAAGATGTTCAAGGCCACCGCTGCAGGAGGGCTGCCCTGGCGCCTTGGCCCAGGCGTGTGGCACATTCCCCGGTCCTTGGCCTGTGCCCAGCCGGCCCACGGGTGTTGCCTGCTGGGGGGTCAGAGGAGCCCAGTGAGTGCAGCTTCTCCACAGGCCCCTGCCAGCCGTGCCCATCGGGCAGCAGTGTGCAGGGCAAGGGTCTCAGAGGGTGGGGACGCCCTGAATTGACAGAGGTGGGGCCGAAAGTCAAGCATTAACCCCAGACCCCATGCCCCTGGGCCCCCGTGGGACCCGTCATGAAATGGTCAGGTTCTCAGGGCCTGCTGTCCATGTAGGCCCAGGCCCTGCCCAGCATGCACCCAGACCTCCTGTGCCTGCGCCCCAGGCCAGGACCCCGAGGCACAGCCCAGGCCTCCATAAGCAGAACCAGGGTGAGCTGCGCGGCCGCTCTCTGTCCTGCAGGCCTGACTGCCCTTTGTCTTGTTTCTCTTCCCTGGCAGGGCTCCCAGCGCCACCAGCGGCCCCCCGTCTCCAGGAGGCTGTCAGGAGCCGCAATGTGTCGCAGGCGGGCTTTGCGATCCAAGGGATGAAGGTGTCAGCCCAGTCAAAGGCCGAACCCACCAGAACCTCCAAGTGTCATCCTGAAAAGGCTAGAGGTGGCCGGCGGCCCCCCAAGATCCGTAACTACAACATGAAGGACTGACCTGCAGCCTCCCCAGGGGAGCACAGGGCCCGCGGTTTACCAGGTGTCGGGGGAGTGTGCGGCACCCACGGACCCACCGCAGAGCACATTAAAACCCAGGTGTCCCCTCACACATCTGCTTGGCTGGTGTTTACCTGTCCTGCTTGGGAAACGCAGTATCAAGTGCTGGTGCCAGAGCCCGGCCTGCCTGCGTCACCACCCACAGACACCTGCACGCTGGCGGTGTCCTGGACGGTGCAGCCTTCCCTGGAGCCAGGCAGAGGGTAGGGGTGGAGGGCAGAATGCCCACCTGCAAAGCAGACTTTTCTCAAGAGCGCCATGTGAGGGGTCTTCCCGGGAACGAGAACCTCGGCTCCGCGTGAGCCTGGCCCAGGTGGGCCGACAGCCAGGTGAGCCCCTGTGCCTCAAGTGTGTTGGGCTGCTCGTGTCGGTGCTGGCAGGGTGGGGGCCGACCCAGAACAGCAGGTCCCGGCAGTGCCATCCATGTCTATCCGCCACGGAGGACAAGGGTGAAATGCCCCTGACACATGGGTACCCAGGGCCAGCACCTACAAGGATGAGAAACCTGAGCCGACGCCTGTGCCGCAGTCACTCCAAGTACCAAAAGAACACACCACACCCCCGATCAAAAAGCACGTCATGAGGCTGGTCTTGTGTTTTCCACACTGGCACCGATGCCCTCTGCAGTTGACATGATGGTCACCACCGCACGGGGTGTCTTGGGGGCCCATGTCCCACCCACATTCCTCCAGAGCCTCTGCTTTTGCCCTGCTGGTGCCCACACCTGGTCATGCCCTGCCTGCAGCAGAGGGCAGGGGCAGAGTGGCCTGGGCCTTGCTGTGCCCTCGGGCAGCCTTTTCCTTTCCGAACCAGGCAGACAGCTTCTCTGGGAGGACCGTGGGGGGAGGGCTGCTCCCGGCCCTAACCTGCTGTGCGACCTCGGAGAATCACACACACTTGCAGCTTCAGTTTGTCCCCGAGTAAAATACGACAGTGAGATCTGCCTTCCTGGCTCTCAGGTGTGCGGGCAGGAGAGCTGGCACAGCATTGGTGGCCGCTGGCAGTCTCTGACACGGCCCAGGAGGCAGGGGTGCAGATTGCTCTTGCTGGCCTGTGCGTTATGGTTGGCTTTCTTCATCTGCTCAGGTAAACACACAAATGGGAATGGGGGTGCCCCCCTGGAAACGAGGCATGGCTCTGTGACTTCCTTTAGCTGAAAGTGAGCAGAGTTGCCTGTCACCTTCTGTAGAAGCTGAGAGCAGGTGGGCAAGCCCTCAGCCCTCCGTGGCGCAGGCCCCGGGGCCTCCTTTCTGGCTGGCCCATGGTGAGATCAGGAGCTCCCATAGCCTGGGCACAGCCCCGCTGACCACTGACCAGCGCGCTGTGCGAGATGGGTCTGGGATGTCCAAGGCACTGGGAGGGGCGTTTGCACAGCACGGTCCAGGTGCTCCTGGCCAGTCCAGTGCCGGATGCCTGGAAAGCTTTGTCCTTAGGCTGACCGCGTGGCCTGACCCTGAGGTCTGAGGACAGAGAAAAGCCCCTGAAATGAGGACGCAGTTCAGGTGTCAGACCGGACCCTGTCTTCCCTGTCCTTCCCGACCCTTCCTCCCGCTGTGTGGACCTGCGACCGGCTGCAGGAGGGGCCAGTGGCCTTGTGCAGGGCTGCAGCTGACCACCTGCTGCCTCCCGTGTGGCCCGGCCACGACAACCCGCAGGCCTGCACCCCGAAAGGGAGGACAGAGGCAAGGGGGTGCCGGACAGGGAGGCCCCAGGCCCCTGCGCAGCCGAGCACCGCCCGGAGCCCCCAGAGCAGGGCGCCAGTCGGATGCCTGTGGCCTCAGGTGGTGTCTCGCGGTGCGGGCGAGGGCTGGACCCCTCCGAGCCACCCCCGTGGGGAAACCACAGGAGCGCCCGTGGGGCCGGGCAGAGCCTCCGCCCGCGCAGGTGAACCTGCGGGTTCTGCCTCTGCCGGGGCAGCGGCTCTTTTGTCCAAATCCCGCCCGGTGGGTGTCCGGGCAGACCCCGCTGGGCCCTGGGGGTGCCCCCGTCCGGCCCGCCCCCGTCCCTGCCCCGAGGCGGCTGCCAAGGAGGGGCCTAGGGGCGGTGGGCGTCCACAGGGACCCCGCGCGGCCGGGCCCGGAGGACCGGTGACCGGCAGTAACCCCGCGCGGGGTGCCCTCCGGGGTCAACGACCGCGCTCGCGCCGCGGCCCATCACCCTATCGCCTAGCAACGCCCACCCGCGCGCCGCCATTGGGCCGGCGCGAACGCCCCCGGCGCCCGATTGGCCCCCGCCGCGGGAGCCACGCCCCGTGTCCGCGCGGGCAGCGACGGCTGCGTGGAGCGGGCGGCCGCGAATGCGTGGACCCCGCGCGCCCGCCCGCGAGGTGGGGGCCGCGCCCACCGCCCGCCCCCCTTCCCCCGGTGCGGCCCCCGGAGTGACCCAAGCACGCCCCGTGCCGCCGCCCGCGCGGCGCACACGTGGCCGGCGGACCCGGACGGGGGCGGGGAACGGAAGTCGGGGGCGGGGGATGCCCGCGCGCCGCCCGCGTCCCCTCCCCCCTCGGGCGCGTCCCCGCGCGGGCCTGTTCGGCGGCGCGCACGGGCATCACCCCACGGCGGCGGCGCGCCGGGTCCCGGGGCGCAGCCCCGACGCTCATTGGCCTGGGCGGCGCAGCCAAGCTGTCAGCCCATGTGGCGTGGCCGCCTGGGGATGGCCGCGGTTTAAATAGCGCCGGCGCCGGCCTAGAGGGAGCCAGAGAGACGGCCCGGCCCCGGCCTCGCTCCGCGCCGCCCGCC